TTGATGTTTCCTAGATTATCTGGTGCGGTTATATAACTTCTACTTCCTTATGTACTTCTTTATATGGTGTTCGCTAGGACTTTGCTTCGTGAAAACTCTTAAGTCGTATAGCAACTACAGGGTTACACACTTTCAGCCATTGGCTTTCATAATCGCTTTAATGATCTATCTTGTTAAAGACTAGCCTAACACCACAAAATTACTTAAGTAGCAAGCTAGATTACTTTTAGCTATTTCTAGTTGGTGTAGCATTCGTGCTAGTAAATCCTAGCTCTTTTCGTCATAAACTTCTATACAGGTGTGATCAGAGCTCCGATTTGGTGTATTTAAATGTACAGGAGTAGGTTATATTCTCTATGCCGAGTAACCTTCTATAGTTGTTCTACTTATGCCAGAGGTGAGGTGCTTCCAATTTCAGTTAAAGCATAATCCTTTACCACAGCCTATAGTCATGTATCACCGCTTCACTCACTACTCCGGTTTTGATAATATTAAATCACTCTTCCAAGCAAGTACCTAATACCATTCCATATTAGGACTTATACACACGATTCATTAATCATCCTTCCAAACAAAGTATCCTACAAGTTGGGTGTAGAGATGTTGATACTGCCAAATACGGAGGTGATAGGATGTTGGTATTGCTTATTAGTCACCCAACTGAGGACTTACATGTGCAATCTTTTTACCGTCTAGACCTTCTGTGATACTGCTGTCACACATAGTACTAATTCTCCACAACCTGGTCTTCTTCCGGGAACTCCTTATTCTGGTTTCATACTGCACTTGGACTTTCCACAGTGCTTTATATCCGATTATGGCCCCCATAGGTTACAGAAACAAATTTATTAAATTTGCCTCTAGTTTGACTCGAATCGTTAACCTTGTCTGTAGGGGTTTGGGAACTTAACCAATAAGCTATGAGACCTAAACCCCAAAGATGAAGTTATTGCACTTAATAATAGTTTAAAAAACAATATAATTAATAGTAGTTTTGAAACTACTAATGAAAACAATATATTTAAGAATTTTATTATTTTGTGCATATGTGTTGTAACGCACCCCCATAAGATCAGGTATAATATGAAATCAAAACAATAGTTTTTTATATGAATAGGGTTAGCGTTAAGTAAGATTAAAGTAAAGTTAAGATGGTTATAAAAGATGGGCTTATAGTAAAATCTTGCAAAGAGTTTTTTTTGTTAAGACCTGAAATGTAGTTGCATATGCGAAATTTTGAGTTATAGGTGATTTTTGGCAAAACGAACGCTTGTTTTAAATTTTCCTGATCATGTAACATTACACTTGATTTTATATTTTAATTGGTTGATCAGAGAGTGCATTACAATGCATATACATTAAATTATATAACCCAATATTTAATTATAATTTAGTAAGTATAAATATTATTATTATAATTTAATTATTTTAATTTTATAATTTTTTTATTATATTTAAACTATTTATCTTATTACTATCTATATAATTTAATTAGTCAAAACCAATATTTGCACAATTTGGTCAAAATTTAAGTATCGATCAAATTGAATATTTTCTTGAATTTCAAGAATATCTAAAAACTTCACTGACTAGAGTTGCTAGTGTATATAATATTTCTGAGTAGAATCCTAATGAAGCTAAACAAGCATTTGAAATTGCCAATATTCAATATTCTTATGAAAATTTTAGAAATATGCAACAAATACAAAAATATCTATTTTTAGAAGTATCTGTTTATAAAAACTATCGCTTATGTTAGGGTATAAAAGTATGTGAATTTAGTTCACCAGAACTTAATATTAAACATACATTTGTTGATTTTGAAAATTAACTATACAAAAAAATTTTTGATATGAATGAAGCTTCAGTTTATATAGTTACTTTTAAGTAAGTTTATTTTAATTTAAATTAATTATATTACTATATTAATTAATTAATTTTTAATTTAATTTTAGTATATTTGGTCAAGCATATAATATTCTATATCTTTATATTAATCCAATTACTAATATTCAATATAGTGAAAAACCTGTTCTTAGAGAATACAAACAAGTAATATTATATATTTATTTATTTATAAAGTTAATTATAATATATATTATATTATTAATATTAAATTATAATTTTAGATTGATAATGCAGCAGTAGCTATTCGAAAGTTTATAAGATATAAAAAATATAAATTAGGACAGAGGGGTTATTGTTATATTACAATTAACTAATATATAAATATAAATTATCTTGAACAACTTTTTCAAAATTATGAATACTGTCCTAATGGAATTAATAAAGAGGTATATAATTTATTATTATTTTACTTGTTATTATAAATATTTATTAAATTTTTTAATAATTAATATGATAGATCATAATGAAATCTAGATTAAAATAAAATTATAATATAAAATCTCGAAAAATAAATTTTTTGTGATATATTTTTTAAAGATAGGGGTTAGGATTAGTTTTAAAGTAAAGTTATAATAAACAAGTATATATAGGTTTTAGAAAGTTAACAAATTAAATAGAAAATATAGATTTAGAGCAGCATTATTTATCATCTGATTATTTTTTATCAGAGGCTTATCCCTCCCCCTCTTAATATAAAAAAATCAAATTCTTATATATAATTTTAACTTTTTTTATCTTCTCTCCCCTAAAAAATTTTCTGATTTTTGTCACATCCCTTATTATAATATCAAAGACAATCACCATGAATGAAATGATTACTGCAGACACTGTAAAAAAATATACTAATACAAAATATAGTATAATTATGTTATAGAATATTAAAAAAATCACCATGAATATAGTAGCAGGATAATGTAACCTAGCTGTAATTACCAAAATATAATCTAAGCTATATGATTTGAACCAGAACTTGTGAATTGATCAACAAAAGCGAAGATATTTAATAATACTAATTTGGGTTTGGCTTAAGAAGAAGCTCTATAGTAAGGTGTTTCTAGTATTCACTTAGTAGAAACTAAAGTAATTTATTTAATTATATATGAATTGCTTATTATAGATCCTCGATACTCTAAATAACCTTATTGCTTGTAAGATATTAATTATAGTAGCAAAACCTAGATGCTGTTTGTAATTCATAAAAGCCTATTAATTTCATATAACTAAACAAACTAAATATATATAAATAATAAGTAAGAATCATAAAGACCATCTAACTCTGGGAATCCTAGTGGCAATATGTTTCTTGGTTCTCAAACCAAATCTTTCACACTGTCTTTCGAGTAGTCTTAATCTTTGTTTGTTTTAGGTTGTAAGATTTAGTGACCCAAAGCTACACTTCTACAACTTACATAACCATCCTGAAAAGTCGTTAAACTTCTGTTAAATACCAAAAAATCTACTATGAAATAATATAGAAAGAACTAGAAAAGGTTAGCATTAAACAAAAAAAACAAACATATATTAATCTCATTTTTCAGTTATTCGAAGAAACTGAGATCTGCAAAAAAGAAAAAAGAATTAATTCTAATGAAAAGACTAAAAAAATATACATATACTAAACCTCTAATACCAATTCTATAAAAAAAGTCGATCCATGTTTTGTATTCTGTGTTTTGTCTATAAATATTGCATATTTATGGAATATATAATATTAAATCATAGAGATTATTCGGCTAATCTAGATTTTGCCGATTATGTTACAAATTTATGGAGTTTTCATAAAAATATAGAGAAATAACAAAATAATCGAAAAAAGTTTTTTACAGAGAAACAAGCACCTAAAAGCACGATATCTAAATGTGACAACACTTGAATTAACAACATGAATATAACAATATTTGAATATGTTAATATTTGAATATGATGACACCTGAATGTGACAATATCTGAATGCAACAACACCTCAAGTGACAACTCTAGCCCAATGATAAAAAACAATACAAAAAAAAATAACTTAAATAGTAAAAAAAAGAGAAAGAAAATCAAAAAATTGATATAAATAAAAAACTATATATTTATATATAATATTGATCTACGTAACTACTATGATATTGCAATCTGCTATGAGTATAAAAATTAAATTGACATTACTACATATAACCCACCCTGCATACAATGCATCTCGTATCAAAATAAATATTTTTTAAAAAATTTTTTTTTAGAATTTTATCAAACTCAAACTACTCAAATATGTTTGCAAACTTTTAAATCAAATTTAAATTAAATCAAACTTAATTAAAAGGTTTGTTTTCAAGCCAAACTCAAATATTTTTTTAAAAAATATTTAAAATCAAGTTTGATTTGAAGTTAAATTAAATTCAAACTTAGTCTAAAGTTTGATTTGATTTGATTTGTTAGGAACTCTATATTTAAATATAATTTTATAATTTAATTATTTATTTGTATTTTAAAAATTATATATAAATTATTAAAATATAAAAATTTACCAGATCTATATATTCAAACTGCTAGTAAGTAACTAAATTAATATTCTGTTTTCAGGGCCAATTACATAACTCTTCCTGACGATCACTTGTACCAAATTTTCTCTACAAACAATCTGCGTTTTTGCAATATTTTTCTAAGTAAATTATAGTTGGCTGCCTAAGTAAACTTGTTCTTTACAAGATTTTACATATAGGCGGTCCTTTATTATAT